ATTTGACCTTAGAACTGAAGAAGCTTCTCGGATGAGAGGTGAAACGTCTTCAAGCAACTTAAAGAAGTCCAGACGCTTTTCTTTGCAAGCTCCTTTGACCATTCTTAACCATATATTTTTTTATTCTTGGATGGTATTAGAATAGCTTTGCATGACTCACAGTTCAATAATAATCCTTCTTTATCTCATCCTGGGCCTCCTCTCCTTTCAAGTCGACTTTCTTCTGACTGGCTGCCCCTCGTAAATGAAAGGTCTGAAAATGACAGAAAATAAAGAAAAGCAGAATTGGTTCTCAAGAGGCAACGCTCATTGTTTGGATTAAAATGCCCCCTTTCAACAGCATTAATGATTGCTTACTGTGCATTCAGGCCAAGGTTATTGTTATTATATTTAGCTAAAATAAAAACTAGACTTCTAAGAAAAAAACATGAAAGTAATTAAAAGAGATTGAAAACTTGGAAAATTAAGATAAAATACAAATATAAAAAAAATTGGACATGTTTTTGAGAGTCTGGATGTCTGCAAGACTGAGTTGACTGCTTTCAAAAAAAGTTTTTTAAAATTGTATCCTGCACAGATTTTTCTAAATCTTACCTCTGACTTAAGCCCTCCTCCACAATGATAATTAAAAAGACTAAAATCAACACTGAAATTAATGAAAAAAACAAACAAAAACTAAACAGACATCAGAAAATTCTCCCCGGGAACTAACTGAAATGAAATTTAATAAAAAAAAATCTCAAAATATACTAAAATTAGAAATCAAATGCTCATTAGAGCATGCAAAATGCATACACAGACCGTGCAAAGACTCTGCAAGTTAATATTTCAGCTTTAATGAAAAAAATAATCCGGCTTCACGCAGTGTTGTAATACCTGATCAGGTGAGAGGGACTAGGCTCTCCTGCCGCCTGCAGCTTTTATAAGTGAGCTTTGTGCTTTCTGAATCACTGTGTTAACTGCTGAATAACTCCAACTATCTCTTGTCCTTCGGGAGGAAGCAGTTTTCCCACACAGGCTGTTAGGGGCTAGTGTCTGTGGGTTGTGACTGCATTCATGTAAGGCCTTACTCTGCTTCACATTTGTCCTCAGGGTTTTCTTCCAGACAGGCTCTCTTGTGGCATGTTCAGACTAATTTCCACTTCGTGCATCTCTTGCGTCCTTCTTATCCTTGTTGTGTTAACTAGAAAATCTTTTTCTTTTCAGGGTGCCCCCGGCAGCAAAGGTCCCAGAGGTGAAAGAGGAGAGCCCGGTTCTGCTGTAAGTTCCTGGGAAAAAAAATTCTCTATCGCATTTCCCTTCAACACTTGCTGCTTCACATTTTCTTGCAGGCTGAAGAAAATAAAAGATGGTACAAGTGCAAGAGCTTTGAGAAGCACATCTGATTCCACTTACTGATTGAGTGTTTGTGCTCTCCTTGTCCTTGATATGAAGGCTCGGTTCTATTAGCATTCCTTGTCTCCTGCCGGCCTTTTCCAAATATTTCAACAGTAGTACACTTCAACTGGGACAAGAGATATCAACAATAAATTCCTCCCATGTTTAAATATTTCTCTTGTCTGTATTTTGCAGGGACCGTTGGGCCCGCGGGGAGAAATTGGACCACCTGGGCCCATGGGTCTGCCCGGCCCTCAAGGACCGAGCGGGCTGTCGATTCCAGGAGAAGCTGTAAGTCTGTAAACACACCTGACATCAACACACACACAGAGCAGAGTGAGGGGGATTACTTAGTGATTTATTATAAAGAGAATTTACAAGCTGGGGAGTATCTGTGGCAAGGACTCACATTCTTTCATGTCTGAGGGAAAGAAGCGATACCAAGAAGCCTCCGAACGTCAGTATCACTGAATGTTAATAAATCGCAGCTTGGATTTCCGTCTCAGAGATTAGATGTACCCAGATTAAACTGAGATCACTTTCCAGAAAGGTCCCACGAAATAGAGGTTTGTGGAAAGTACTGGACAGTTTCTGCTGCTTAGTACTCCATTAATCTGACGATATTGTTAAAGGTTACAGTGGATTAAACAGGTTTTATGGATTAAAACATCCACTCGATTGAGGCTGTAGGTTTGATTTCAGATGCTGGGAGATACAGCTAATGCTTTTTTTTTTTTTTTACATTACCTTCAAGCTTCAAAACTCTTGTGCAACTATAAATCATAATGTAGTTTAAATATTTATATTTCACTTCTGAGTTTCCAGATGTGCCAAAAAATGCAGTTCCTCTAATGTCCTCTGGGGAGTCAGTCCCTATTGATGCCCATGTTAACTTTAAAATACTAGTAAGTTTATAGCCAATGAAAATGGTTTTGGTCTTTAAGCATGGTTTTCTCCTTGCAACATCCGTACAGGGTGGAATTTGTGGAAAGCACAAGAGTTTTGATTTATTTAGCAAGTCTTAATCTGGTTAATATTGCTATCATCTACATCAGTCACAGCTCCATCTCTAATTGTTCTGTCCCTCCGAGTCACCGTCTTCATTCATTAATGATGTTGCTTTCTGTTTTCAGGGCCGTCCTGGACCAAAGGGAGACCCCGGTGATTCCGGCTTACCTGGGCAGAAAGTAAGGGCAGCTCAGTTTGTGTTTGAAAGCAGGAAACTGGGGATAATTCACATTTTGACTACTGGTCTGGCACGCGGCCATATTGGCTGCACGCAGATGCTTTTCCAGCTGGGGAGAATTCAGAGAGAGAAGAGGCAGACCGTGCCTCCACTGCAGGTTTCTGAATATTACTTTTAAATTAAGTTTCTGCGTACATTCGAGCCAAGAACAAGTCGCCTTGATTAACAGTGCTGGATAAGTGTCAACCCGCGGCCAGCCACTACATCCTCCTCTCATTGAAAACTGTTTTATCTGGGAACGCATGAGCTGCCTGAAGACAGACGTGACACCTTAACTTTGTTGGCATGAAAGCGAAAGCAGTCTGTGTGAAATATTAAGTTACAGATATCAGATGGTGCTTTCATTTCTTCCTGGAAGGAAGCATCTCTCGTGTAGGCTGAATTGAAAAGAAGAATCCAGGCCAAACAGACAGAAGGTAAAGAAACGTGATACTGACCAGAGGTCAAAGGTGTGCTTGTGTTAAGATGAAGCCATAAGCAAGTAGGCCCCTGAAATGCCTAAAACCTCTAATTGGTTTTCTCCAGGCCATCTTCGGCCTCAGTTTGGTTGACCTGCTCAGGTGTTCCTGGCTTAAATGTGGAATGGTGTTTGTTTATAGCTTCAAGCTCGACCTTTAATTTAAACAGAGTGCAGCTTCCAACCTTAAAGGTTCCATGTCAAACTGCACAAAAACATTTTTGAAGCAGAGCTGCAGAAAAGGCGTGATCAACCAATTGAGTGCAGGTTCTGCTGACAGCTAAAACGTGCAAAAAGTTGTACGATAATCAATGGTTGACAAATTATTTCCAATAGATATCAGGAAAAATAAAGGTTCAGACAAAGTGGAGCAATCATTTAAAGAATAATTGTGGTTTATTTCATGGTAACTTTATGCTCTCTTCCTCTGTAGAAATTCGGGGAAACCAAAAGTTTGTTTATAGTCTGATTGAAAGAAAACAAGGAAATCAGCAGCTTGGAACGGATGTTTGGCTCTCCATCTGTCCATGCTTGCCTTCTGATTTAATCACAAACATATTCTTCCCCCACTGAACAGTTAGATAAAAAGTTACCCTAAATGATAGGCATATAGTGAATAGTTTGTAGCATAGTCCCCTCCTTGGGTCAGCCGATCTGAATTTCCCTGTAATCCGTTATGTTTTCTTATCTACTGGAATAAGTAAAGACGCACACACAGAAAAAACAAAACAAAAACGTTTTTTTCTACTTGTCTTGAAATTGGAGTAAGATAATCTCATCAAATTGTCAATGTGGAAATTATTACCATCAGATTTATTTATTTTTGGTCTATTGAGATTTGGCTGCACAAACCTGGTGGAAAATTGTTAGTTGCTTTGTCAAAACAGTGTTGTAAATCAAATAAAGTGGACCTATTATGTTTTTTTTCCCCCTTATAGTCATTATTTTTATCCTTGGACCTACCAGAGTAGCTTTACATGATTCACAGTTCAGAATAATCCATATTTAGCTTATATTGGGCCTCAGTGCAGCTACTCGGATCATCCTCTGTCTGAAACCAATCATCAACGCCTCTCCATTACGGCCATCTGATTGGCTACCAAAATCATCCTGGTCAATGACCATAACCCCCGTACCTTATTTAAAATTTTTAACTCTGTGGTTAACCCTTCCCCGGACATGCCTTTAATTTATTCTCAGGCTCTTTGTGAGCGATTTCAAATTCACTTTTTA